AGGCAAAATTTCATAGTGGTTTGTGGTGGATGCGAATACGAAGAGTCATGTATTTCGGGGGTTTTCTCTCTTGTATACAGAAGTCTGAGTCTTGTGAGAGATGAGTGAGACATTGGATGTATTTGGGGCTTAGGGTTTTCTATGAGAGCACAACTCTGTATTTCTTCTACATTACCTACTACATAGTGGATTTCTATTCCTCCTTCGCCCGTGGATGTAGGTTATAAGTCGAACCACGTAAATCTATGTGTTCTCTGTGCTTGCTTTCTCTTTATCTCTGTTTTATTTTCATTTGAGTGCCATTTCAAATCTATTTTCTTGGGTTTTTCTGCGACAAACTGGTATCAAAGCCCTATTTTTCGTTTGGCACTTATGATGTCATCAATGAAGTTTGATATTGAGAAGTTCGATGGTAGCATCAGTTTTAGTATTTGGCAAGTCAAGATGCATGCCATTTTGGGACAAGACGGACTACACAAAGTTCTGTACGAGAAAGAGAAGAAACCTGCAATTATGAGTGATAAAGAATGGGAGGAGTTAGAATTTAAAGCCCTAATCACGATTCAGTTGCTACTATCAAACGAAGTTTTGCGGGAAGTCGTTCATGAGAAGACCGTTGCGGGTTTGTGGCGACAGTTGGAGTCAAAATCTCTTGCTAGTAAGCTCTACTTGAAGCAACCACTGTTTCTGTTTCGGATGGCTAAAGGTACACCTATAAAATCTCATATTGATGAATTTAACTCTATTATCATGAACTTGCAAAATATTGATGTTAAGGTTGAAGATGAAGATAAAGCCCTTTTGTTACTTTGTTCCTTACCACCCTCATATAAGTCTTTTAGAGAGTTTCTCATCTATGGAAGAGACACCATTAGTACAGAGGATGTTAAAAGGGCATTACTCACTAAAGAGGTGATTGATAAAGACTTGACTATGAATAGGGGTGATAGTCAAGATTCTGGATTGTTTGCAAGAGGGAGGTCTAAGGATAAGGGCTCAAATAGTAAACCAAAGTCTAGATCAAAATCTAGACATAAGAACTTGACTTGTAACTATTGTCACAAGAAAGGGCACATTAAGTCAGAATGTTATAAGTTGAAAAATAAAAACCATAATGAAGAAAAGAAAAAGAATAACTCTACAAAGGCTAGTGCGACTGAGGATGAGAATGTGGATGTTCTCTTAGTGACATATGATAGAACCAGATCCAAGGATGAATGGATTCTGGATCCAGGTTATTTCTACCATATGTGTCCCAACAGGGACTAGTTCTCCACCTACGAATCTATTAATGGTGGAGTTGTATTGATGGGTAATAATGCCTCCTGTAAAACTGTGGAAAAATGAACAATTCGAATCAAAATGCATGATGGTGTTGTGAGAACAATAACAAATGTATAGCATGTACCGAACTTAAAGAAAAATCTCATCTCTTGGCACTCTAGATGTTGAAAGGTGTAAATATTCAGCTGAAGGTGGAGTTCTAAATATCAGTAAGGGTGCTTTTGTTGTGATGAAATGCATGAGGATAGGAAGTTTGTATGTGCTACAGGGTACTACTATCACAGATTCAGTTGCAATTTCTACATCATCTCTATCTGATTCTGACACCACCAAGTTATGGCACATGAGGCTAGGATATATGAGTGAAAGGGGACTTACTATGTTAAGTAGGAGAGATCTTCTTTGTGGCCAAAGTATAGGAAATCTTGACTTCTGTGAACACTGTGTTTTTGGGAAATAAAAAAGAACCAGTTTTAGTACAGTCGTTCACAAGACAAAGGGCACTTTGGATTATGTTCACTCAGATCTATGGGGACCATCACAAGTTCCATCAAAGGGTGGTGCTCGATATCTTCTTACCATCATCAATGACTACTCCAGGAAGGTATGGGTTTATTTTCTGAAGCATAAGAATGATGTATTTGTGACTTTTAAATAATGGAAAACTTTGCTTGAAAAGCAAACAAGAAAACAGGTCAAGCGGTTGAGAACAGATAATGGTTTAGAGTTTTGTGAAAATGAATTTAATGAGTTTTGCAAAAATGAAAGAATTGTAAGGCATCGTACTGTTGTCAAAACACCACAGCAAAATGGAGTTGTAGAACGTATGAACAAAACTCTACTAGAGAGAGCAAGGTGCATGTTGTCAAATGTTGGGCTCTCAAAGGATTTTTGGGCAGAAGCAGTTAATATGATTTATCACCTGGTAAATCGATCTCCATCTACAACCATTGAACGTAAGACTCTAGAAGAGGTATGGTTTGGCAGCCCTCCTAATTATTCAAATTTGAAAATAGTGCATATTTTTGGCAGCATATGCACATGTTAATGAAGACAAACTTGAGCCTAAAGCCAAGAAGTGCATATTTCTTGGTTAGGTTTCAGGTGTGAAGGGATACAGATTGTGGTGTCCTGATCTTAAATCACCAAAATTTATAGTTAGTAGAGGTTACTTTTGATGAGTCTGCTATGCTTCACCCAAGAAAGGAGTCTTCAAATTCTTGTAATGCAAATAAAACACAAGATTCAGGAAAGAAGGTGGAGTTAGAAGTTAAAAGTGCTTCCTCACCTTAGTTTACATCAGTCCAAGTGCCCATTTCTACTGAGATAGAAGAACATGTACAAGAGGAAGAAGATGAGGAGCAGTATTCTATTGCTAGAGGCAGAACAAGGAGAGAGACTAGACCACCCCAAAGATATGGTTATGCTGATCTGGTTGCCTATGCATTGTCAGTTGCAAAGAATGTTGATGTTACAGAACCCAATACTTATGTAGAAGCTATCTCGTCTGTTAATTCTACTAAGTGGTTGACAGATATGCATGAAGAGATTGAATACTTTCATAAGAATCAGACTTGGGAGTTGGTAAGACCACCTAAAGGAAAGAAGATTGTTGGATGCAAATGGGTTTTCAAAAGAAAATAAGGTACCCCAGGTGTAGAGGATGCTAGATATAAGGCACGATTGGTTGCAAAAGGCTACAGTCAGGTACAAGGTGTTGATTTTAATGATGTTTCATCACCAGTTGTTAGACATAGCTCCATTTGTGTTTTTCTTGCTTTGGTTGCCATGCATACTTTGGAATTAGAACAATTAGATGTTAAAATTGCTTTCTTGCATGGAGAACTTGATGAACAGATTTATATGCATCAACCCGAGGGTTTTGTTGTTGAAGGGATGGAAGACCATATTTACTTGTTAAAGAAATTTCTATATGGCTTAAAACAGTCTCCTAGACAATGGCATAGAAGATTTGACTCTTTTATGGTGGCTCTTGGATATTCTAGATGCAAGTATGATAGTTGTATTTATTTCAGGAAACTTGCGGATGATTCTTTTGTTTACTTACTGCTTTATGTTGATAATATGCTTATTGCAGCAAGAGAAATATCTAAGATCAACAAATTAAAAACACAGCTGAGTGGTGAGTTTGAAATAAAAGATTTGGGTGCAGCAAAGAAAATTCTTGGCATGGAGATTCAGAGGGACCGAAAAGTAGGGAATTTGTATTTGACACAACAGAAGTATGTTGAAAAGGTCTTAGAGCGCTTTGGCATGAAAGATGCTAAACCAGTAAGTACTCCTATTGCAGCCCACTTCAAACTTTCAACAAATTTGTCACCACAGACAGATGAAGAAGAAAAATATGTCACATGTCCCCTACTCCAGTTGGGAGTATTATGTATGCCATGGTTTGCACACGACCTGACATTTCACATGCAGTTAGTATGGTGAGCAGATACTTGAAAGGTACATCAGATACTTGTTCAGAGTTTGGGAGGAGTAGTGACAGTTTGATGGGGTTATGTTGGTTCAAATTATGTAGGTGATCTTGACAGGAGAAAATCACTCACAAGTTATGTATTTTCTATTGGTGGTTGTGCTGTTAGTTGGAAAGCTACTTTACAGTATACAATTGCTTTATCTACTACTGAAGTTGAGTCTATGGCAGTGACTGAAGCAGTTAAAGAAGCTATTTTGGTTGAGAGATTTGTTTGGTGAACTCAATTTGGGTCCAAAAGTGGTTGTTGTTTATTGTGATAATCAGAATGCTATTCATCTAACTAAGGATCAAATGTACCATGAGAAGACGAAACACATTGATGTGAGGTACCATTTTGTTCGTGATGTTGTAGAACAAGGAGATATCATTGTGAAGAAGATTGGTACTGCAGATAACCCAGTTGATATGTTAACAAAGCCTCTTCCTGTGGCTAAGTTCAAGCATTACTTGGACTTGATTGGTGTTTGCAGCATTTGAGTTTGCTCATTGGGGCTTTTGTTGGAGAAGGTGGAGGGAGATTATTATTATGTGATGCTTGAGAGAATTCAAGCCAAGGTGGAGATTTGTTATGTTTGTGCCTTGAATTCTTTGTGGCAACCCGTTTCATGAATCCGCTCCGAATTAATTTGAGAAAAACCCGAAGGCAAAATTTCATAGTGGTTTGTGGTGGATGAAAATACGAAGAGTCATGTATTTTGGGGGTTTTCTCTCTTGTATACAAGTCTGAGTCTTGTGAGAGATGAGTGAAATATTGGGTGTATTTGGGGTTTAGGGTTTTTTGTGAGAGTACAACTCTGTATTTCTTTCCATTACCTATTACATAGTGGATTACTGTTCCTCCTTCACCCGTGGACGTAGGCTATAAGCCGAACCACGTAAATCTGTGTGTTCTCTGTGCTTTCTTTCTCTTTATCTCTGTATTATTTTCATTTGAGTGCCGTTTCGAATCTGTTTTCTTGGGTTTTTCTGCGACAAGAACATATTTGATTTACCAATAGAAATTCCTAAGCTCAGTTTTAAAAACCATTGGCATTAGAGTATCTTCAACTTTTATTCAGGAGGAAAACAAAAATAACTATTCGACCGCCTCTATATACCAATCTCTGTTACAAGTCCTCAGTCGTTTGGTGGTTAATTTATATCAAATTAAAACAACAACTACGCATTGAAATGACAAAAGAAGCAGAAAAGGGGGGAGAGGGATTTGAAGTACCTAGAGTGATTTTTGGGATAGGCTCGTTGCCGGCAGAGAGAGCTCTCTCTTCGGCTTCTTGCAGAAGCTGCTGAACCTGCGAGAGACGGGATGATACCTTCTTTCCACCGTCATTGGAATCTGACGCCATGCACCGGACTCTGCCCGAGCTGATTCCATGGCATGCGAGGCGAAAGGCCCCACCGGAATTAGGAGGTGACGTCCTCCGAAAAGTCGCCCCGGATCTTAAGAAAGGAGACCGAGACAGACTGAAAATTTCTCTCAAAATCATGTTAGTGGTGGCTCTCATGGCAGCCATTTTCGTTCCGGAGGAACTCTATGGAGACTGGAGAGTGCCTCTGCGCTTGAGCTGAGTCCTGACTCCTGAGTGTGACCTCCCCTACAATCCACAGTTTAATTCTAAAATTTTCTAATTTTCATTCCACAAGAAGAGAGGGCTCCGTTGGGAAGACTTTGTGACACGTGTATGGCCAACAAGTTTTCCAATGTAAGGCCATCAATGCAATGGCATTCCAATTTGCAATGGGGTGGGTTACATTTGAAACCCGCTCCAATCTCCTTATTGGGCGGGCTAAGGAACGGCTGCAAACGGATTGGATCGAATTCGATAAAGAATATATTCGACCCTATCCGGAAAAATCCAACAGATCCGAATCCTATACGAATCCCCCGATTTCCAATATTATGATTTGAATTCGAATTTGAATATCTGATTTGATTTAGATTGTAATAAAAAACTTGATGATATAAATATATAATATAAATAATATATGATATTATTTGTATAATATAATATATTATAATATATAAATAATATATAATATATAATATATAAATAATATATAATATATAATATATAATATTTCATAATTAATGAATTGGATTCGAGTATATTCAAATTCAATCCGTTAATTAAATGAATCTATTTTTCCAGATCGGTCCAATTTGTTACCTTCAACTTAGCAAAAGAGGTATCTAAATTTGATTCTTATTTGATCAAATTCGGATTTATATAGGGCATGGTCCAACTTATTTGCAGCCTATTTGCAGCCCTACTCAGCGTTGAATTTCCAGATGCCGTCTGTGCGAAATATCAACTGGTCACTGATTCGGGTTTAGACCTACCCATATCAAACCCAAAAAAGTCAACATACCAGATCGGATCCGATCCAGATCTTGCCTAAATCAAATCGAATAAAAAGAATTGATTTTTTTGGTTATCAGTGGATCCAAATTCTAATTAGACATGTAGATGAGTTGAATTTGTATATATACCCAGATTCGATCCGTGGTGGAGGTTTAACTCGAAGGTAATTTCCCCCTACATAGTTGACTGTTGAGAGTTGAGAAGGGTTTGGTATAACCGTATAATTAGGGCTGCAATTTGGTGGGGCTGCCGGGCCCAACCCGAGATTTTGCGTGGGTTGAGCAAGAGATTTAAGGCTGCGGGATAAGCTGGGTCAAAAAAAATTTGAGTCCGATCCAAACTTGGGTGGGGTTGTGCTGAGTTTTCAAGTGGCTCGAGCCTAGCCAATATATAAAAAATATTATTTTCTTAATTAAACATATATACATATATATATAAATGAAATGGCCTTTACAGTAAAAAATAAATTTAAATGGAATTTGTACATTTTTTTAATCAATTCTACTCTTAAATCAGGTCAAAAAGCCCAATAGATAACTATGCAAAAATGTATTAAACCCAACCAACCTATTAACAAAGCCCAATTAAACCCGAACCTGGCCCAAGTTGCATTGGGTTTAAACTTAGGTTGGGACTGGTTTAATAAATTTGGGCATAGCCTCAGGTTGGGCTAGGCGCAATCCAGAGGTTTGCATCTTTAGGCTTGGGCTGGATTGCTCTTCAATTCAATCCGACCCAACCCATCCTAGTTGCACCCAAGATATAACACTTAACTTTCCAAAGCCTTTTTCCATTTAATATCTCTCTCTCCTAAAGTTTTCTCTCCATCTCTTCGCCTTGATCTGCCTTTATGTTCCAACTCGCCAAATAAGTTGGGCTTGTGTGGTTTGCTTGAGTTGAAGTTAGGATCGTACATTTGCTTTCGGACACTTGTCTTATAAATATCTCGGGTCTACCCTTGAAATGAACGGGGATTTACTTTAAATATGAGGGATTTTTAGACTGCACCCTCCCTCAGAATTCAGAATTCTATTATAGACCTACAACAATTCAAATTTTAAAATAGTTTTATCTATAATACTAATATCCACCCGTGTATTGACATCAATTCTGAACTGATACCTATCCCAACACCCAACTATACGGTGGAGCTAAGATTTATTGGGATGGAAAGAACACTAAAAACCCCTAAATATAATTGTGTGAATCATACTAATAAAAAATCATGAGTGAATACGTCAATGTTTCCAACAAATTCCATGCACCTTGAAAATGATACAAATCAAATTCCAAATATATAGTCAAAATATTTATTGAGTGCTTGCTCAGGGTAAGGGTGTAACTACTAGATCAGGCCTCTCATTATATAACTCGAGCTAGCCAAATGGGTGCTTTAAGATTATAAATGACTTGCATTGAATTTGGATAAGGGTATATCTGAATTTATTCAATAAAAACGAAAAATTATGATTCAACCCAACATCAGGTAGATATGTAAAACACAAGTTTAAATTCGGTTCGTTTACAAATAATTGGTTATAATACCAATAAATTTATAGGAAACTAACATAAAGTATGAACTTGAATATAGGGGCAGGTGTCAATGGATTGGTTTTGGGTTGGACCCCGTCCAAACCAAAATCAATTTAGATGGATTGGATGGACCAATAATTGAATTGGTTCAACTAGATCAATTCAGACTTAATGGTCCAAAGTATTTATTGAATTAGATCCATTCCATTCATAATGGATTTATATTAGATTTGGTTGGACCGAACCAATATTTGCTCTATTGATAGAAGATAAAAGTACAGATGTCAATGGACCAGGTTTGAGTTAGACCCAATTTAAATTAAAACCAATTTGAACAAATTGGACAGTCCATACATTGAATTGTACTAGTCCTAAATGGTCCAAAGTATTCATCAAATTGGATTGGACCTGGGCCAAGTTTGGGAGTGCTTAAAAATAAATGCTTATTATGCTTATTCGAATAAGCACTTATTTTGGTCTGGGATCAACTATACCAATAAACACTTACTTGTATTTGGAAAATAAGCCCGAAATAAGTACTGGTTAAAAAAACCTAAAATTTCAGTTTTTTTAAGTGCTTATACAATAAGCACTTATTCGAAATTTTGATTCAAAAAATACTCCCGAATTAGATTTCAAAATACCACTTATGCCCTTCAATCGACTGAAAATATAGGGTTTGGCTCTTTGATATTTTCTTCTTCGTCATCTTCTCCAAAACTAGCAACGGAACTGCAGCTCGACCAATAAACTAGGTAAGGTATAATCTCTTTTTTTTTTCATATATATATATATATATCATAAATAAAAATTTTATCTGAATCTCAAACGCAACTCAATCCGATTACAATAATTAAACAGACAACTTAAATGAATCGGATTTGAATTCGAATCAAATTCAACCAATCCATTTGCAGCCCTAGAGAGATTTACCCGATACCCATACTGATCAGATTGAAATCGGAATCTTATGGATTAAGAAGAAAATGAATGGATTGAAATGGTTGCAACATATTTGAGTCTTTTTCTATATCCTTTTGATTATGAAAAAAACAGCAGCCGAGGAGGAAGGAACGCAGATTTAATCTGTAAATGAACTTTTGAAATACTAAGGCTGTGTTTGGTTTAAAGGAAAAAGTAAGAAAAATGGAAAAATAGAGAAATCTTGTATATGTTTTATTATCTTTCTCTTCCTTTCCCTACCATTTCCTTCAAACGAAACATAGCCTACAATAATAGAGAACCTCTGATTTATGAAGAAAGGACAAATCATTGAAACAGTGTCAGCCAGTAGTAACATGCTTAAACTTCAATCCACATTAATCCTGAAAACTTTTGGAGGTTATAATTTATTGCTTCAAACGCGTCGTAGCATGTTCACAGGTCACAAAGATGGATCGAATTAGCACAACTTGGGCTGCAGAACCCAATAATCTCTCAGTAATTTCTTTTTTTAAAGCTTGATAAGACAAATTCATTAAGTGATCTAAATAATATCATCAGCAATACAGATTTGCGCCAAGGGGAAAAAAATAGTTTGGATCGAGAAGATCATGGCCTATTCAATGGTGATTGATGAATCCCAAATTCCTATTGATGACGATGCCCATCTTTGTAATATTGTTCTAAGGGTAAAATACAAACTTTTCCTATAGTTTTTATTTTAACAAATATCTCTGCTGAACTTTTTAGAAACTCGATAAAAGCCTCCATTTTGCCACCGTTCCATTTCAGATGAAAAACTTCCAAATATTCATTATGCCCTTTTATAGATTATTTTACATACAAAATTATTGAAATAATCCCATTTTAACTCAACAAATTACATATTTCAGTAATTTTGTATGTAAAATTACTGAGATGATTGTTAAAAGAGGTTTTTGTTGAGTTAAAATGGTGTTGTTTCAGTAATTTTGTATATAAAATAATTTATAGAAAGATAACATAGATATTTGAAAAGAAACTATTGAATCAATCTAACGTTTTCCAGGAGACTAGCGGAAAGGTGATTTTTGTTGAATTTTTAAAAAATTGAGGAGAGGTATTTGCTAAAATGAAACTATAGGAAAGCTTCAGGAGAGGATTTTGTATTGCCCATTGGGCTTGTAGCCCGTACGTCATCCTGTATGTATAAGTGATTCTACTTTCGATGAAATGGACTTGCCCTATTTGATGTCTTTTCTTTTATGGATAAGGGACATAAAGTACCGCCGTACCACCATCAAAAGACAAGAACAAGAAGGAATAATTTCCCTGCAACTTCCAACAATGAGAGCACTGAGTAAGGATGCATTTATACTTTATTTCATCAATGGAAATGAAAATTCATTTCTTCATTCTCCTGGGCAAAGCAAAAGTGGCCATCTCAGATGACAGATCGATCGATATCACACCCCAGAAAATATTTGCTTAATTAACAAAATTTTCAAGGCTTATATAGGTAATCCATATGCATATCATAATTAAACTATATTTACAGTCGAGACTCTCTCTCTCTCTCTCTCTCTCGTCCACTTCTATATATTGTAGCTAGAAGGGGAGATAGACGCAGAGGATAGATCTAAGTTTGAATCCCGTTCCGGTGGGCTGAAGTGATTCTAAACACATGCTCTTCACCTGTGCACTTGTCTACTGTGACAACCCATCGACTCCTTCTGCCGGTGCTGCCACCGTCGCCACCCCTAATTTTGGTAGTCGCCGGAATACGGCTCACCAGCAACCCCTCCCCAATGGGCAGCAACTGGGTCTTGGACTCATCATCACTCCTCCACCCAGACCCCTTGCACGCATTGTAGCCCACGACCACCGCCCCACCCTTCTTCTTTGCACTCGCCTGCACCACTCCGAAGACACCTTCATGGCCCTCCAGAGTACAATCTATGAGCACAAAATCTGCTCCTATGTAATTGTTCACCAAGATGGATTTGGCGTCCCCAGCAACGAACTCAACGCAGTCAGCGTTGGGTCCTAAAGCTTCTTCCGACAAATGGAGCTCCTCCAGCCCAGGAAGGATGCACACCACCTGGCCGCCCGTCTGATGAGCGGCGGCAACCAGTGCTATGGTTGTTGCGCCTGCAACTCCTGCGCATACCTCTACCATGACTTGCGAGCTGTTTCCGGCGGCCAGTGCAGATACGAACTCGGCCACATCTGGCTCCTTAGCTCTCTTTCCCTACACCAGAGTCAAAACACAACACCAAATCAGAAAATTAAAGCTGCGATTGGAATGCAACTAATAATCAGAGCAAGCGAGCGGGATTCATTGAATCTCTCATATACTAACCATTTTCACAGTTCGGAGGTAAGCTTGGGTGGCGTTTTCAGCAGACCAACAAGCCATTTGTTTTCCTGTTTCTCTACTTTGGTTGGTTCTTCTCTGTTATGGTGTTTGATGGATTCCTCAACTTTTAAGCTGGCAGCTCTGAGCTCTGAAATATACAATCTCTCTGGCCTCGTCTATAGGACTTATATAGGAAGCAACTGAGGGAGCTGAGGTGGTGGTTGAATATTGAAGGGACAGTAAATAATCCAAGTGGAAACTTTAGACCAAAGACACGTACGAAATAGATTAACAAATAACAATTCTGGGCTTATAGGCTAATTAATAAGAATTCTCCACTGCTTAGAGGGCAGAAGCTCTGCTGCTCGATCCTTACCAATTTTGCTTCACGTGTTGGGGTGTTGGGACCTGTCATCACATGGGTTTTAAGAGATCTCATGGGATAATGTATTAATTGTCTCCTTGTTTAGCCATTCTAATGACTCCCTCAACCATTCTTTTTGAATTGCAGACAGTAGGATGTAGGAAGACAACATTCAATAAGATCAGATGGTTATGATACATGGTCATGTACATAATTGAGCCAATCATTTTCATGTGGGCATATCATTCATTACAAGGATGATTAAGATTAATTACTTGCTTTAATTAATTTGTTGGTTTTATTGTAAACTTTTATACTACTACTAGGTACTAAATATATATCTAAATAATTAATAAAGAATGATTATGTTTTTATTAAGAAATATTCTAATATATATTTTTATATAGAAGTAAAACTATCAAAACCCTTTTAGGCGTTAATATTTTATGTTTGATATAAATTAAATAACAACTTGGAGGATAGCTCCAGAAATGGCACTAACCATAGTACATTGTAATTGAGGAGTTAACTAATCTTCATTAAGCTTCGTATTAGTAGCTTAATTAATTATTATATATTAGAGATTTTTTTATTAGTCAATGCTTAGCTTAATCTAATTTAACATAAGATATCTGATCTTTTATGCCATTCCCGAAATATTCATGCATTAGCTGTAATGTCCAACATTGGATAGACCATAACATTAAAAAATAGTATAAAAGAGAGCCATATCTCTAGTTTGGTGGCATTTCTTCGAGACAAACCAAACAAGACCCACGTTCATTTATGCAGCAAGCCAACAAGATTGTGTATATAATTTTTAGAAAATTTATTCAAATTCTGATCAGAAAGAGACAAATCCATTTCACCAACCGAACCCAGAATTCCCTGTAGGCTGTAGTAGCTACCCAGAAACACAGTGCTGCATCTTGTATGGGTTGCGTTTGGAGACACTTGGGTCCATCTCAGACCACCCTGAATTTAAGGTCCATTTGGTTCATGCTTGGAATTAAAATCCTTCAGAATCAGGATCAGAATGGTCAATTCTCCTCACCTGTTTGGTTCAGACTGGAATTAGAATCGGAATCAGAATTGGCTGGAATGAATTCTCATTCCCAAGGGAGGGGGAGGGAATGGCGATTCACTCAAATAGGGGACTGGCACTACAGCAAAAATGAGAATGGGAATATGGGATTCTGATTCCGCCCAACCAAACAATTAGAATCGGAATGGACCATTCTGATTCTGATTCCAGACCCCTATTCCTGCAAATCAAACGGGCCCTTAAGCCAATGGAGATAGCCTGGTTTGGCCCTGCCTAAGGAAAAACCAGGCCAGTTAGTAGGGGTGCTTTGCTAAATATATAGATCGTCTTGGAATTAAGCTGCCCATTCAATGGTATTCGAAAATCCAATTTTGAATTCAAGATTCGGCATAATCAAACTGAATTTGAATATGATCTGATTCAATTTGGTAAATATTCGAATTCGATCGATTGTTTAATTATTATATATAATATTTAAATATTTTATATAATAATTAAATTATATAAATAATTAATATTTATATACTTTACATAAACAAAATGTTTATTCATTACCTAAAATAAATAATTGATCGAATTCGAATCGAATATCCAAATATTTAATCGAATTTAAATTCAAACATTGATTTTCTGATATCTATTGAATATCGAATAGAATTCGAATATTACCTAATTCAATTCGAATTTGATTCATTTACACCCAAACTGCGTGCCTATTAAACTGGATTATTGGGATTTAGGATTTGGGACTAAGACTCAGTTTGAAAGGAACACAAATACAAGCATATACATATAAAATATGTATAAAATATAGGGTTTTGTACTCTACAAATTTGCAGGCAGGTTCGGGGTAGAATAGAGTAGAGTAAAGAATTATCATCATCGAGCCTCAATTACCGACCAGGCCAGGTTGTTTCGACAGGACCAAGCAACCCACCCATGACCCATCATAGAATATTGCATATCAAATCTATTGATGAAACAAAATAATTAATTAATTAATAAAAAAATGAAGAAGCGCCGATTGTTAAGCCAGAAACATGTTATTTTGCACCACCAACCCACAGCCGGATCTAAGTCGGAGCAGGTCGCTTCAGCCTTCAGTCGTTAAGGTAATTGTTAATCAAGCGTCCACTATTAATTTTCTGTCTTCTGGTCTCTATTTACATCGATCTCGGGATTCAACAAATTAAAAAGGTTCCCTTTGTCTGATGATGATGGCAATGGGGAGGATTTGCCAACGTATTAAGCTCTTAAACTTTTTTTTTTTTTCTTCTTCTTAAAGAGATTGGTCTTTTCTCAAAATTCTGTAGGAAAACACAGACAACGTGGGAAGAAAAGAAGATGATGCGAAACGGAGAGTGTATGTGGACATGTCATTAGGAGTCTAAAATTCCAATTGAATAGAAAACACCACCCTTAAAAGGAGACATCTACGTGGGTCAAGAGACTAATCACACACACACACGTATCGTTGAAATCGTACAATTGATCTGTACCCTTATTTTGCTATATTCTATACTATTCAAAAATGGGTAGAGAGAGAGAGAGGAGTCAAGGCTGGTGAGGTGTTGGGTTGGGTTGGGTGCAAAAGCTACCCAACAAGATAATTGGACGAAACCATGGAACCCACAGGTCCACAGCCGTATGAACCACGTAACTTGGTGAGGTCTTTTTTAGCTAAAGGTGCTGCAGAATTCTGAATTTTACTGCAACTTTATACAATTCAAAATAATAAATACCCCCAGCTGAACAGTCATTCTCCCTATAAATAATAACCTACTAATCTAATTAAACACATGAAAATTTTAGTATTAATTCGATCGATCGGTTCATGGTTGTTTGGACCCATGTTTGCCATGTGAGAGAGGTCCTCTGCTGTAATACATGACAGAGATGGAAAGTAAGCAGATGGATCTGATGATGAAATTTTTATTCTATGCTTTCCCACGTTGACAATGCATGTCAAATGTCGCATACAGTAAAATCAAAAACAAAACCTTGCCTTCAGCTTGGAGAACCATTGAACCCTGTATGTTTTGCTGGTAATAGATCCCTTGAAATGAAAATGAAAGACATTTTGAGCTTAGAGAGGAGAGTGTGACTGGGGGAGGGAGAGACTAGGCTGGTAATAATTAATTAATAAGCACCCTCTAATTCTAATATGTTTATAAACAAGAAACCTTGTAATTTGAGTTACATTCTCAGCTCACCAACATGCATGATAGCCAATTCATTGGGATAATTTACCAATTGCGTCACTTGGGTTCCCCCGTCTCTCTCTCTCTATTAGCTATTTCCTTCATATTATCTACATCCTCTAGTACTAGGGTGTTTGTTTTTTTTTGGATTTTGGGAGAGGGAAATGTTGGTCAATAAGATTTTGGTTTCCATTGACCAAGAATCTCATGTTCATTTTTCAGATTTAAGTGGGAAACAGGGAAAGTTTATTTTTCTAGGTATTGCTTACCCGGGTAAGTGATACCCATCTCCTAAGGGGTCCGGATGTAGTAGGCACGTTAGGTAAGCACAATGAGTGAGCATGTAATAGCTGTGTGACACATGTTCCAGTTAATGTGCCTTTCATCCAAACGTTTTTCTTCCGTTAGACAGAAATTATCTATTATTTTATTATTTTTGTTAAAATAATTAAAAAGAAAAACAATGAAAAAGAAAAACCTAAATGTGTTGGGAGTTGGGACTCATTTACATTTTCTTTTTTCACTGTTTTTTATTTTTAATTATTTTGACAAAGATAATAAAATAATAGATAATTTATTTCTAACAGAACAAAAACATTTGAATGAAAAGCACATTAACTAGGACATGTGTCACACAGCTATTAGCTGCTTACCTAAGTGCCTATTACATCCGAACCCTCTCCTAAGTGGGTAAATAACTTTTCCACCAAGAGAAAGTTTCCAACACTTGAATGAGACAAAAATGTCCCTTTTAATTATAGATTTTTATGAATAAAATGGTAATTACCTTATTTACCTAGAAAATAAAAGAACATGGGTAAATAAAAGCGATGAACCCTAGATATGAAGATATTTGCTGTAGAACACTATGACCAAAGATGCATTTCGAGAAATAAAACTATATATTGCTTCCAAAAACCATCAATTTCCTATTATTTATTATATATATTCTTGCCTTCCGAAAGAACTGGTTCATGCACGTAAGGGATAATAGCTCTGAAGTCTGAACAAAAGAGTATATATAGTGCCAAAATCTCTGAAGGGCATAGTACAATATAACTCTATGCAAATGTAGGGCTTCCGGCTGTTGAGGACTGCTTGATGTCCATGTCAAACCCATACTCCATTGCAGACCTCTTCTGCCTCCAGAACTTATTGGAGCATGTATGGAAGGGCAGTGATATAGATAATTACATGCATATATGGTCCACTTCTTAGATCTCAAACCATGGTCTCATTGCAGAAACTGTGGGTCGAGGGTGGTTCTTCCCACTGCATCGTCCAAGCAATACAGCCTTCCAGTTGGGAAGCTGGAAAATTCCTCCATGCTCTGTACAGCTGAGTTGGGAAAAATGTCAAATCCTCTGTCAGTCTGTTAGCTTCTTCCTATAATTCCATACATGAACTTGGTGCAAAAACCTTCCTATATGGTCACTTTCTACTGGAATGTAGGTGCATAATTCCTCATATATAGAGATAGAGGGAGAGGAGACCTAGAGTGTGCTTTATGTCGTATGCACATACACTT